AAATGTGCTATATGCAAATGATGTAAGCGATGTGCTTTTTTTTACTGCAGTTTGAGTTGTTTACTTGCATTTTAAATATAAAAGGTCCTGTAGTTACAGAGTTTGGCATTTTATTTTTTTTATTATGAATAGCATAAAGACAGCTGAGTTTTAGATGAAACAGCAGAGTAAGTTAGTTTCACTTCACCCAAATTTCCTCTGACATCTCTGCACTTTCCTACCACTCACTGAGTTCCCCAGCCCCCATCACTGGATTTTCAATTTCCTCAAACCTCACCTTTGAAAAATTAAATCATACCACAGTTACATTGTAAATTATGAATTGCGATGCACATATACACAGTATCAAATTATAAATGACGTTGGAGTTGTAAACCCAGAGTAAACATTTCATAATAATTATCCTATTTAAGCATATATTTGTTGTGATTTTATTGCCTGAGACAAGCAAGTTAATATCCACTGAATGCTTTTCCATGCTGATAGAAAACGAGTGGTGTTTCAACTGTGAGGGGCTGAAATGGTTTTCATCTCTTATGAGGCATTTCAATTGTTATGGGTTGCAGCACTGATGAGGCTAACAAGTATGATTGTTTTCATGGAGCTGATGAGAGGAGGAACCGGCAGATCGTCCTATAAAGATCAAGAACAAGAAATTGAGTGATGGCAGGGGCAGCTAGAAATAGAAGGTAGTGTAGAGATACTAAGAAGACAAATGTCAGGAGCAAAAGGTCAGGAAGAATGCAAAAAGAGACGAGAGGAGAGGTTGCGACAGGGAGAAGGGCGCTCATTAGGCTGTCAGATATTTCTGCTATCAGCACTTGTGTTGTAGACACCAGCGACGACATGGGAAATGTACGTGGCGTTTAATTTCATGAACACATGGCCTAGTGACAAAGATGAATCTGCCACATGAGGTCGGGGTCGTTCCCCCGACACATTCATCTCTCTTACCCTTTTAGGAGGAAACAGGTGTGATGTAGTGCAAAGTGGGCTTAGACCTTTCAAAGCATCACTCATTATGTTGGTTTATATTGGGGTTTGATCCTGGATCCGAATGAAACCAAGATACGAACACGAACAAGTCAAAATAAAAGCCACCTGGTGTCATTGAAAAGATGTCAGTAAGTCACTGCACAGTCAAATCAGATAATCAGTCAATATCCAGGATGTCAGGATTCTTTTGATAAAATAAACATAGCAGAACATTTGGAGTCTGTACTGTATCTGCAAAATATATATATATGCTAGCTGTTTTTCTCCTGCAGTTTATCAGATCAGATGAGATGGCTTATGTCTGTTTAATCTGTTTTCCCATCAGATGCCACTCACAACTCGGTGCATTCAGATCATGCTTTTTAATTTTAACCTCATTTATTCTTTCTTCCTATGATTCAGTTTTGCCCTTTATTCCCTCTATTTCTGATGTTACCGGTGAGGAAATGATAAGGAAAAAAACACAAGAAGGCTTGACTGTCAGGATTGCTTTTTGTTGGAGAAGTATAACGCATCATCACAGGTGCTGCCTCTTACGGTGCAGTGGCTTTGTTCTGTTGCCTGTTTTTGTAAACTGCTATTTGTTGATGTTTTTTCTTACAGGTAGTGGGAGAGTGGCGCTTTAGCAAGATTCACTGCGACATCTTTGTCACTCTGGATGTGATGATGTGTACAGCCAGCATCTTCAATCTCTGTGCCATCAGCATTGATCGGTGAGTTCGCCGCTGCACTGATTATTAAGGCCTGTCTGTCATGCTTTCTGTTTGGAGCTTCAATGGAAATCTTTAAGCAGGTTGCCTTCAGCGCCCACACAGCTATAATCGGACAAAGGCCTCAATTGTGCACAATGCACAACACCCTAATGTCATCTATTGAGTTATATAAAAGAGCACACATGTCGTAATTGATAGCCTCTAGATGTTCCAGAATTATAAATGTGAATATACTACCTCTAAGAAATATGCTTAAAGGAATTAAATCTATTGGCAAAATCGTTGACTACTGCATGATAGGGATGCCAGTGATTATTCATCTTTTTTTCTTCGGCGTGAGAGGACGCTGGCGTTGACTGTTTGCCGCTTCTCTGTCCGAAAATCTCGTCTTTCTTTGTGTTAATCTAAGAGTTTCTGACCACTTTCTACTGCTATAGATTGCTAACTATTCTGTTGTTTTTTTGTTCTGATCTGGACATATTTGTTACACCCGATTGCCATTTTTGACGGACGCTTTGGTTCTCTACCCTGCTACACCTACCTGCTAACGCTGCTCCATCCATCAAATAACCAGCCCCATTCTTCGTCCTGCCCCTCCCCGTGGGCCCTGACTCTGGTTCTTCTTCCTGCCGTTCCCCCCATCTGCTGTAAAGGACAGCCTGCAACTGACCTCTCATCCTGTCTGACGGCTGCCAACAGCTCCACTTTCAGCGCCGCTGGTCTACAACCATAGCCAGCGCTTTGCTAACGCTAGCATCCTACCGCGGCACTACAATGTTACGATACTCTGTCTCCCAACTTTTTAATCTCAACAACTTTTCTGCGCTTCCTCTAAGCTTGTCTGTCATCAATTGCCTCGGGCTTCTACGCAGACCGAGGTATGTCCATAGAGGTTCCAAACGCAGATTTGTTTACTCCCAGTCCGTAAAATCATCCATAACATCTATCTGGTCGACTAACCGCCATGTCCCACAACTGTCATGTCATCTGAGCGCACTTATTACTCCATATTATACACCCACCACTGGTCCGTTACAATCCCAGCTGTACCGAAAACCTGGAGTGGATTCCACTGCCCTCTTCTCAGAGCTGGTCCAAATTCCTGGAGTGGATCCCACTGCCCTCTGCTCAGAGCTGGCCCAAATACCTGGAGTGGATTCCACTGCCCTCTGCTCAGAGCTGGCCCAAATACCCGGAGTGGATTCCATTGCCCTCTGCTCAGAGCTGGCCCAAATACCTGGAGTGGATTCCACCGCCCTCAACCACCAAAAACTGATAATAACACACTTACNAAAGACGAAGGGGGCCTGAGCCAGCCACACCACGGGCCGTAGGACCCAGATTGTTTTTTCCCGCAGGAATTTGTTAGGTCTCTGGGTAGCGGAGGGAAGCTCTGGGTCCTACGGCCCGTGGTGTGGCTGGCTCAGGCCCCCTTCGTCTTTTTGTTTTTTTCCTGTCCTCCAGCGGCATTGTTCATTTGCCGGTTGGCCATGTGAGTACGGTTGGGTCTGAAATAAATGAACGCCGTTAAATGCTGCGTGTTTTCTGTGTGTTATTTTATGTTGCGGGTCTCCCCACGAGCCACTACCACTAAGTAGAGGGCGGGTCGTAACAATGTTATTCACATCCACATCTCAGATTACCATTTGGGTATACACTACTCATGTTTTAATACAATGATTGTAAATTGCACTTAAACTGGATTTTACTAGTAATTATTTGTAATAATTTAAGTAATTAAGTAAATGATCATTTTGATTTCCATTGTGGTATATATAGGATTATTGAGCTGGATTACATTTCAACATATTGCAGTCTCTGTTACTTTGATTTTTTTCTGACTCTCGTGATGCCTCTAGCCTTATGAACTAAATCCCTGAACCATTTCTTTAATCCACAATTTCTGATGCTTGCTCCTGCTCTGGTTATGAAGAAAGAAAGAAAAAAAACATTGGGTTTCCACAAAACACAAACAGATCACAAATCAGCAATATAAAGTTACAGGATGTAGACATTTTAAATTAGTGTCTGAAAACATGCTGTGTCAGAGGAATTCCAAGGCTCACTCAAATTGAAAGTCCACCCAATGCCATTAAAACACTTATGCTTTCATGGACACGCTTTCTTTTGCTATAATATTAATATTTAATTAAAAAGGTTTTATGTTAGAATTTTGGAGCTTTGATACGATGCTGCACTGAGACATTGCAATTCCACTCGATCGTTAACGAAATACTTTAATGTAGGCACCCTACTAGTGAACCCATCTGCCCACATCAAAAGAGAGTGTAAATGTTAGTGATAAAAAACAAACACAGCAGGTTTCTTACTTTATGGATTAACGAGCTTTAGGCTAATAATTGGTCCTAATGATCACAAACATAAAAGCAATGAAAAGGTAACTTATTACACTTAAAAAAGTAATAATATCTCTGAAAGATTATTGTTAAAGAGTGACACATTTCCACTTTCCACTGTGCTGTAAAAAACATACATGGAGTGACCATGACATTTTATGGATTAATACAGTGTTATTTGATCAGAGTGATAATCACCCTGACTCACTGAGAGGCATAGGAGGATTAGAGTCCCTTTAGTCTTAGATTGCCTTTCTCTACATCAGACACAGCGTGACCTAAAGCCTGACGGTCAGAAATAACCCCGGGGCCGAGAAGATAGACAGAAGAAATTAGCAATGACCAAGAGATAGAGTCTTTTCTGAAAGATAGCCCACATCCTGCTTGCTATTGATTTAGTGGATTGGAGATGAATTTATGCTGGACCCGAGACTCTGTTCTGTTTGAGGTTGCTCTGGTTAGCAGCATTGATGTGTCTTAACTGCTTTGAAAACTGCATTATATCACACAGCAGCGAATGCAAACTGATATATCCCAGAATTAGGAAGAATTTTTTCATCAATGTCTGACCTATAGCTGAATAGACCGGTCCGACATTTTGATGTTGTCACATATTGTTGCAACAATAAACGCCTTTAACCACTGCAGGAATGATATTTACAATGCTGATGTGAACATAAGAGCTGCCCCCCTTGTTTCACCTTGGGCCTTCGACCTGCTGATAACTGCAGGCGACTTGCTTGGCTCAAGCCCTTTTCAGGAGTTTTTTACTTGCACTAGATTTCATATAAATCCATGCTGTATGCATCATTTGCTTTGTTATTTTCTAACCACAATATTCCAAACTGAAATCTGTCTTAATAATGATAATTTTCTTTGGAAAAGTAAAGTGCTTCTTGGTATCAAAGGAGCCTCTCTGTTTTGTTGACAGTATTCACATCTGTTATATAGGAGATAGTATAGAAACAATAACTGCTTATTATACAACAAGTCTGCACCCCACTGCTTTGTCTTTGGTATAGTATGTACACAGTATACTTGTGTAAATGTTGTGTGGGTGTGTGTATCTGGTATCCTACCTCCAAGTAGACGACCCATGGCATAACCAGCGTGGCCACCAGAAGGTCGGCGACCGCCAGGCTGACGATCAGGTAGTTGGTGGTGGTCTGAAGGGCCTTCTCTCTGGACACAGCAATGCATACCAGCACGTTGCCGAAGACGATAACGAAGATGAGCAGAGTAAGCAGCATGGCATAGTAGTTGTAAGGGTGCTTGTGCTCTTGATCTGTTTCGTTGAAGCTCCATGTTCCATTATCATTGAAACTGTCATTGTAGGCATACTGGGTTAAGACATCCATTAGCTGTGAGTGACGAAGGCCAAGAACGGGCCCTGCAAAACATGCAGAAACACAGAGAGAAAACAGCATTTAAATGTAGCTGCAATCATGTGAATGTTCGCGGTAACAGTTTATGAAGAAAGCACAAACTTGTTGGGACAATCTGTATTCCTGCAGTATTTTTGTCTTAATCTCTAAAACCCCAATGGACCAAGTTCATTTTAGAATATTCGGGATAATCCAAATGTTTACAACACGAAGTAGAAGGTATTTACCATATTTCCATAAAACTACAGCCCTAAAAAAGCCCTGACTTCAAGAAAAGCCTTAAGTGAACTGGCAGCATTTTAAATGCATCCTGTAGTTTCTGTGGCCTTTAGAGAAAAACGTATCGTGATTTCCAATGGGTATATTTCCCCAGTGCATAACGTAGCACCAATGCTGAATATTAATGTGCTGGTAAATGTGCTTTTCCTTCTTTTTGTAAGGAAAGAGGTGCTGCAAAAGGAATGATACTCAAAAAGAGATTTCAGAACATTTTAGAAAAGGTACACTATAGAGTTTTCTTGTATGCAAATACAGTTGCTACAGTTATTTGCACATTTTGGTTATATTTCATAACTTTTGAGATACAGTACAACAATATGGGGAAATGTTCCATAGCTCTACAAAAAGTGATAGTGTTAGGACAGTCTATGGTTAGGACATGTAGTTGAATATCAGGAACAGGTTTGCATCCAAAAACAGCAATTAGTGTTCCCAAAGTGTTCGGTCTTTAAAACAAACAAACACATATAAACCACAAAAAGGGGAAAGATGTGGAGTTGTCTCCCCTTGACAGACATATCACCCGAATATCGGAAACCCTCATTAGCAGAATTGGTCCGGAAAAACACAACACAAGAGCTTCTTTGTTATCAAAGGAATCATAGTCAGCGCACCCGTGATATACATCCATTTGAAATGACTAGAAAAGCATGATTTTGAAACAACAGTTAATTTTCTTCAATTCTAATCTTATGACTTGCATTTTCAGACAGGAATACCATTATAAGAACTTCTGCTTAGCCAATATGTTACAAAACAGCCATATTGCATCAATATGCACCATTACTGTATAAACGCTCAAAGGACCTTGTGACAGTCAGTAAAACAATGCGTCATTGCGGCAAGAGATTCTGATTAACATATTTAGTGAGCTTCTGCAGCCATCAATCTGTATTTAGCTTACAACATCAAATACAATGTGTGGAATGTGATTACAGCCTGGATATTCCTGCATCCTGGATATTTGAAGTCTGTTTATTTAATCATTTGTCAGTGTCATCTAAATGAAATGTATTTAAATTGTGTGTCAACCTCACAAAATATATAGTTCATTAATATGATCCTGCTCTGTTTTTGCCACGATACTGTGAAGCTAAAATGAAAGCAACTTAATAAAGCTGTACGTATCATCTCTGTGTACGTCAGAAATACACAAACACATTCTATTTTGGAAACTATTGGCAGTGCTGTTCCCTCATAACTGTATAGATTCATGTTTATGTAATCCTCCACTTTCCCAAATACATTTTTGTTCTCCATTGGTACTCCAAGCTGCAGCAATGTCTCCACTTTTGGTAAAATAAGTTTTCACACAGAAGGTGGCCTGTAAAGCTATAAAGTCCTGGTACGATTTTGACAACACTTTCAGTTCTCCCATTTAGCTAATTATCTTCAATTAAGGCCCTTAATTGTTGACTTTCAAAACATAAATAAATGACACTAAAATACACACTGCTTTTGGCTGCTATCATACAGTAGTTCCTCCTCTTCATACGGGCAGCGTATGTGGCAGATAGAAAAACAAATAAATCCTTTGTTCAACTTCTTAGTCTTCATCCCACCGAGTGAGGCAAGTCAAGAGGTTTTATTCCAAAGACAGAATCTTTTAGTTCAATCTTTTTTAGCTGTTAGTGTGTTATTATTTATTAGCTCAACCACAAAACAGAACAACAAAGTAGAGTCAAAAAGAAGAGGACATTTTTTAAATAAAGTTGCGACTTTGGGAGATATCATTGATTTTCTACATATCTTCTTTACCATTAAGATAAGGAAACATAACAGAATTTCTTTTTTATGTAAATGTTTTTTTTTAAGCCACGTTTTGGTTGAAGTCTTTGAGGCAGTGGATTTCTCCATGGTGACCTCAATGAAGAACATATATATCCCTAAGGTTTTTTTTCATATTGTAGATGTTTAGAAACACACTCTGCCCTTCGGCTTTGTTTCACATCTTTTATCTTAATATGGAACTCTTTAACTGAATGTCGTAGCGACATTTATTATCATTGTATATCATCGTTTCATTTTTTCAAAACGCTTTTGTGCCCTTTCCATCATTACATAAGCATGATGTGTCTTTGTCCAGAGGTATATGAATATCTTGAATTTTTCAGGTCACGTTTTACTGGTGAAGGACGGACACTTAGCTATCTGTGATTTTTTAATAGGGTCAGGTACGTGCAACTTACAATACATCTGAATGTCACTGCACTGATTCAATTATCTTTGACTTTCAAAAAGGTTTGCACACTAGTTCTAACACTGAATGTGAATTTTCATTTTAGAGAATCAATACAAAAAAAAGTGACTAATAGAGGGAAATACACAAATAAATACATACAATACATTACAACCCTAAATAGATCTACTATTGAGCCCAGAACACGGCTGAATTCATTACAAACGTTACAAAAGGAGGCCAGGAGAGCCTCAGTGCAGAGAGAAGGATTCAGAGAGTAAAAGTGAAAGAAGAAATAGAGGGTGCGGGTGAGCAGAGAGATCTCCTGTTGGGACTCGTAAGCATTGCTCTGGGGCAGCAGTCTCTGTGTTTACCCTGCAGATGGCCTGTGCTGTCTAATCTCAATTATTTGCCCGCTCTACTTCCTCACTTACAATACATGAGACTGTTCTCATTGCTGTCCTGACAGCGCGTGCTAGCTTTTATAAAGCAACCTCTGCTTTCTCTCTGCTGCCTTCAATATCTTCCATTATTTAAATGACTCCTCTGTGACCTGCACATGATTATCATAATAACAATGTCCTCTTCAGGTGAGGTCAGATAGAGGTCAGGGTGCATCCCCCTAAACAGATTCAGTGTCTTTCACTAGGAATCCCCAACAGAGCCCATACTTGCTGAATGCTAAAACTTGAACCGTTGTCCATTATTTAAATGAAGTGTCACTGTTGTAATAGGTAACTGGACATTCAAAGAGTCCAACACCAACAAAGATCAAACCCAGGATCATAACATTCATTAGGAGCAGCTAATGTTGAGGGCACCTGTCCAAACCACATGATACACTTTTCTTGTGACCTTGGTGCCCCATGAATGCCTTTTTTTTTTTCTTGGTGTCATCCACATTTTGATATTTGAAGCAAGCAGACAACCCACTGCCTTGCGGGCTGCACTGCAATACTGACAGTGCTTATGCAAATATACATAAATGATTTGGTCCAACCCAAATGATTGCCAAGCCAGCCTGTGTTTATACCACAGTGCTGTTGATTATAGTCCCTGATAAAAACAAATGTATCACGTTGTGAGGAATGTTAGCACACATTTTGTTCCAAATGATCCACAATGATAACCAACTGGGTGTGTAATTATATTCAGTCTCTTTCTTCAGAACAATTATATAGAAATAATCAGATCTCTCAAGGAAAAAGTAAAGATGCCAGGCTGCAAAATCATTGAATAACAAAGAATGTCAAAGTGAGTGTCGTCATTTTTTGTCTGGTTTTGGTAAATAATTCTTGAATTGTCTTTTACAATATTATAAAATGGGAAATATGTGTGGTTTAGTATCCCTCTACTTACAAATGTATTTCAACTTCAATGTCTGTCAATATCTAGTTTAAGGTGGGATCTTTTTAAAAAGGCAATGCCTGTCAGATGTCAGGAATGCAGGGTTATCTGTTGTTTTAAAATGACATCAAATGTAATTGCAATAATTATTCTTTTGGGTATTTGTTCCATCATAATAAGGCCACTTACTGTAAGTGTCACACAAACAGAAATAAATCAAACAAGAAAGACTAGTTACAGTGAGATACAATAAAGACCAGATTACAGAATCAGAAGACAGGATTATGTTTTGTTTGGATAAAAGTTGAGAACATCCCCAAACAGAGCCAGAATGCTAACAACAAACATAGTGACAGTGCAGCGTCATACTTCGTGAATGAAAAGTAAACTGTAATATTAGACAAATATGAAGAAGTTAAACTTTAAACATCCATGAGTTAAACCGATAAACTAGGATAAAAGCCACATAGTTGCACATGCATGGTGAATA